TTAAAAAAAAAAAAAAGAAAAAAAAAAAGAAAGAAAAACAGGCGTATAAACTAAATATAGATACATTAAACAACGCGCAGGCGTACTTGAAGGCAACGAAACATCGTCAAACTCGACCCGTTCTTGAGTAGACAGAGACAGTGTAACTATAACGTTAAGCGTACGAGAGCAGCAGACGTTCAAAACGATAAGTCATCTCGCCAGTTAGCAGGTTTCCTAAACTTGAAAGAGACATTGCTCCGACTATCCGTATAATCTCTTTGAAAATATGTTAAGAAGCTCGTAATTTAGCAGAAATTCCGTCGTGGGATCAGACAGGGTCAAACAGAAGGGGAGAGAACAAAAAACTGACCCAAGTTTATTGCTGGTGATAAGCTGAGTAAACACTGCGTCAGTGTCTTGGTTGGTGAAACTATGAGCAATGAAATCAATATTCTAAAGGGACAAACCTGTGCTGTAGCAGTAGCAGTGATATTTATAATGTACAAACACAAAACTTCAGGGCTTTTGGGCGTTGCCATCACAAAAATTAAATAAAAGAAAGAGGAAATGAAAAATAGACAAAGAAAGAAAGATCCAGACAGAAAGAAAAAGAAAAATACATTTAATGTAAGTGTATTTAATCATTTAGGAGGTGGAGCTGCAAACCTGCTGCCAGGACCGACCCGGAATGAATAGCATTCAACACCCCAGCAGAGAGACCGAAATACTCGTTAAGAATTCTCTCTACTCGGCAATCGAACTCGGGTCTCCTGCGTGCGACAGCGAAGTGGCCAAACACTAAACACTGCACCACAAAAGGCGGCGACAGAGAGAAAGAAAGGAAATTAACAGGCAAATAATGGAAACGACGAAAGGGATACAAGAAAACCAGGAGAATGTGATGGGTCCTTCTCGCGGAGGTTTTTTTTTTTTTAACGAAAGGACACACAATTGCCACTTTTCCCCGACATACATACATACATACATACATACATACATACATACATACATACATACATACATACATAC